AAATAGTCAGTTTAAGAAGTCAACAAACAGCGGTACAGAATGAAATCGAAAGCTTGCAGCAAGAAGCAAAAATGCATGAACGCACATGTGTCGTTCTTGAAAACCCAAAAGAAAATATAGCCAAACTTGAAAACCTTATAGCCACAACAAAGGAACGACGCAAAACAAGGGAACAGCAATGGCAGAGCTATCGCAAGCCAATGGAAGAGACACTTAAAGTGTTGCAAACTGCAAAACAAGCAAAAAACGTACAAAACGTACTGGAACTACGAGAAACAATCACACAACTGGAACAAACACTACATGAGAAAAATATTCAACATGCACAACTAAGTGAAGAACTCAAAAATAATCCAAATGCAGCGGCTTTACGCAAGGAATACACACGTAGGATACTAGAATTCATAGGAAATATACGGAAGCAACGGAATGATATCTTTAAGGTCTTGGATGATACGCGTGACTTACAAAAACAATTGAATGCTGTCTCAGCACAACTGCAACGTCAATTCAACTATACTGACGACTTACTATTCCAGAGTGCCAAGCACGATTTACATGCCAAGAAAGCCTATAAACTGTTGGCCACACTGCATGAAACCTGCAGTCATCTTGTTGAATTGGTTTCACAAACAGGTAATGTCACAAAGGAAATACGAGATCTTGAAGTACAAATTGATCGTGAAAAAATGAAAAATATTGCTCTGAGTCTTGAACAGATATCGGCGGATATACGTAATTTTGAAATCGTTATCAAAAATATACAAACTGAAATACATAAGGTCGAAAATAAAATAACTGCAGGTTAAATTATTCCCTTTAAAAAATATTTAATTCCAATTAGAACTCAAAGTTCAATATATATTAAAATAATGCCAATCTAAGCAAGGAATTGACACTTCTTCCCACTTAAATCATTTCCAAATTGCAAATAAAAATATAATTATAGAATGTTATGTAAAATAGACAACAAAATAGAAATTGTAAAATTATTTTTTTGAAATTTTAATTAAAATTTTGTACTCAATTTTGTTAGATTAAAGATACGCACGCACAGATGTGGTACGGTGCAATCCCACATGGGTTGTGGAATAAGCTAGGTAATACAAACAGATCCGATACATTAAATCCTTTTTGAGCTTCTATTTACGCTTTTGCGCTGATCTATTGGACTTAGTAATAATTTCATAATATTAATATTTCTTTCTTTGCGGTCCTATGTTCATTCTTAGGAGTTGAAGGAATTTATATAAGGTTTCTTTCGTATATACTCACTCAATTTGCCACTATAAGTTCTTTTTAACTAAAATTCCTGCTTTAAACCGGACAGTCAATTATTTTTGATTCGTATTTAAAAACGTGACGTTTTTTTTCCGTTGCTTGAAAGCGTCGAAAGTCAACGTGTAAAATTTGTACCTACTAAAACCACCTCTTGGGAATGTTTTGTGGATAGAGTTACTGCACTCAGACCGTAAAGATCCATTGTACTGTAAAACTCATTCCAATAATTACATCAATTTTTGACTTTTAAAGAAACGAATAGTATTTGAAAGAGGTAAGGAGCTGTTATTCGAGCTACTTAGATAGGTAGATTGAAGTGACGGCCTTTTATTCAAAAAGCCCAATTGAACTCAAATATTGGCCTATTGTAGTACCACGGGATTAGCACTAGTACGTACATAGACTGAAAGATCAGTATGCGACCAACACCGAAAAAGGTAATGACTCCCCCAATAGGTAAAAGAAAATCAACCTAACAGTTCTGTGAATTGGGCTAAGTCCATAATATTAGTTCTGTGCATTGGGCTAAGTCCATAATATTAGTTCTGTGCATTGGGCTAAGTCCATAATATTAGTTCTGTGTATTGGGCTAAGTCCATAATATTACACGATGACAGCTCGGTCAAGTCGGTAAGAAAAGGAACCTTTAAAAAGGCACTGGCGCATGAGATGAAGCACGGTCTCCTCATCGCCATAACAACAACAAAAGTTATTATAGGATAGAACGAGTCTCATAGCATGCCTTTCTATTTCGCAATGGCTCGTTAGCACAGATACCTTGTCGCTGAGTAGGTTTCGGTCTTAGTTGAAATAGTTGACTTGTGCTTTTTTTGTCCAATGTTCAGGTGTTTTTGTTTAATTAAAGCTACATACGACGTCGTACTTTACTATTTTAAGTATGAATCTTGAGAATGCAGTACAGAAACATAATACTGACATTCTCTCTATTGTGTTTTCGTCATCCAAATAAAGTGGAGATTCGCTGTTGTCAGTAAAATGTTTTGCGTATGTGGTGTTAGTGATTCCACCAATTAGTAGTTCACAGTCCTTGCAATATATATCACAAAAAAACCCGTTCTTACAATATAAATCACATGAAAACCGGTCCTTGCGACGTAAATCATAAGAAAACTCGTCCTTGCCACATAAGTCATAAGAAAACCTGTAGCCGTTTCCCTAATTTCAATGCCACCTGATTTAATAATTTGAGCTATCCCAGTATCTTAGGGCATCTGTATCTAATCAAATTCCATACCGTAAAACAAATTCTTTCCGAAAATTGTTAAATATTTATAATATTATTATTATTAATATTAAATTAAAAATTTTATTAAATCTTAAATCAAACTACATATACACATCACTAAAGGATTACATGCACTTGTCTAGAATTGTGTCCACATTGATGCCTTTATTTTATCATTTTTTACATCTCTTGATACAAATATATCTCATTGGATTCTTGTAAGTACTGTAAACGACGAAGAGTTTTGGGGTTCCAGCCTCTCTTTGAAGCATTTAATATTTTAAAGTTTATTTTTGTTTTTTAATATTTTAACGTTTATTTCGTACTTTGTGTATCTCCTAATATTAGGAATTCGCCTTTGCCTTCATCAGTTAATCTAAAAGTTTAGGCTAGGAGTTTGGATTCCTAGGAATTTTATAAAACTTTTGATGAAATCATTGATCAATGACTGATTTAGACATTGTAAGAGCAATTAATGTAGGAGTTTAGGTACGATCCAAATTCCCGGGAATTTCACGAAACTTTTGATGAAATCATTGATCAATGCCTGATTTATACATTGTAAGAGCAGTTTATCTAGGAATTTAGGCACGACCCGAATTCTCGGGCACTTTTATTTGGCAGTGAATTTTAGAAAACACATATTTTGAACATATTCTTCCACTATGCTATAACTCAATATAGCTTAGCTTTCCATTTATATAAATTATATAGATTTTAACTTTAAGTTACAAATTTTTTGGTTTAAAAGATCCGACATAAATTTTATTGAAAAAAAGTTTTCAACTCTGCCGAAGATGGTAATTTTATAATTTTACAACACAGTATAAGTGGTCTATGCTATATCGTAATTGTAATTGACATATTGTAATGCCAATCATCTTTTAGCAGAACAAAGTATAACTTAAAGTTAACATCAAATTTTATGAAAATCAATCAATTTCACTTTACACATTTTCCTTTCCTAACTCTAGTTTTATCCCTCATAATCGGCTATAATATCCGAACACATACACCAGTTTTACTTCGATTAGTTTAACATTCAATCTTATCGAAATAATAAGCTTCCTTCACATGGATTTAAGCTACGTTTAATTGTCACCTCACCCACATTAACATTTTTTTCCATCATTCTCCTAGTAAACTCTCGACTTGCCCTCACATTTTCCATCCCGTGTATTCTTCATGTAATCCGTTAATGGGTTACGATAATAATTTAATATTAATATATATAATAATTGTAAACTTTATAAAACAGCTTTCAAGCAACGAATATAGTTGTAATAACAATTTAGCTGCAATGTTCTATATCAGGGCTGCCCAAAGCACATCTCACGAACCAGATGCGGCCCGCATCAAGTTGCTATGTTAATCTAAAATATTGGTAAAATTACAATGTTTTATTTTTATGCTATCCCAAAAAAATGAATACAAATGAATAATTTAATAAAACTAAATTTGACATTATCACCGAACTTTTATTGTTCACAAAAAAAAAATCATAGACGTATTTATTTGTTTCTGCGGCCCCTTAATCTGTACAATGACTTGTATTGGCCCGCGATCGTATCTGATCTCGACAGCCCTGTTCTATATTATTAATATTTAAGATAAGTTATAAAACCTTTTGTCAGACTTGATTAAAAATTGTTTTTTAGTAATAATGTTACTATTATTTGTTTAAATCTATTTCGTTGTTGATTTTTATAGAAAATTTATTTTATTTTATACATTACACGCTAAGGATCTATTACTCACTATTTTCTTAAGTTAAGATAACTCTTAAAAATAATAACATTTATGTTAACATTCTTAATCCTGTTTTTGTACATTTTATGATAAATTTTTAAACTTATTTAAAGAGTTTTTACATTTACAATTTACAGAATAAAAAATGTATTTATGAGTTCTTATATTTGAAAGTGCTATAAGTTCAATGTTAACAAAAAAAATGTATCAATTGTAATTTTAATGAGATGTAGAGACACTCAACCTTTTTTAAGTTACGATTTGGTCCTTATTTATTTAGAATGAATTAATATATTAAGATATATATATATATATACATATATGTATTATATATAATTTTAAACAATTTTATCTAAAATTATTTTATTAGTTTTTATTTATATGTCCTTTATATATAGGATATATTTATTTATATATTATATATACCTTTTTTTTGTAAACTTTTTGTAACAGAATAAAGATATTGGCATAAAGAAATATATACGCATATACATATTTAAAAATATATATCACTTAATGTATAAATATCTTTATTATATTATGAAAAAATCTTGTGAAAAAGGTATATATATATAAGAACATATATATACTAAAATTAAACACATATTTATATATAAACTAATAAAATAATTTTAACTATAAAACTTTATAATGAAGTATTATTTAAATTGCTTAATTTGCAAATACTTAATTGTACTCATACACGATTAAAATGAATAAATAAAAAACAAAATATATCATCCTCTCAAATATAACAACTCATATAAAAAATGATTTTTTAAAAATAAAAATAGTTGGTGTTTATTTTGTTAAAATTAGGACTTTATTATAAAATTAATCAAAATGAGACATAAAGCAAAAAAAATTAATATATTTTTACATTCTTAAAATATCCCACTTATAGATTCAAAGGTTTTAATATTGATCACTACTACAAAAAGTAAATAAAGACATTAAAATTTTTTAATAAAACATTTTTAACATATTAAAAATAACAGATTTTACTTTTTAATAATTTTTCTGTAAGATTATATGCAAAAATGTTTTGAATGAATTAAAATATAATTTAAATAATTATTTAAAATTAAAAATATGCATCTATACGATCAATTTACAATTAAAAATTAAAGAGTATATATGTATAACATTAAAAATAATTTTCCGAATAATTTGTAATAATGACTAAATACAAAAAAATTCTTAAATAGAATTATAAAATCATATTTAAACATTAATCATATTTAACAAATATAAATATACGCTCAATTTAGTAATTATCGTTTTAAATATACACTTTATGTAGTAAAAATTAATATATATATATATATATAAATATATATCTTAATAACTTTACAATCTTGCAAGCATTTTTGTTATTTTTTCTTATTTTCTTGTTTTATGGTAAAACTAAATTGCTGTATTAAAGTAAAACGTAAATTAAACAATCATATCGCTTATTTATATATAAAACTTATACTATTTTATACATTTTCGATTACTTATAAACATGAAATTTACTATGAAGATCCAATT